TACCCCGATAAGCCAGTAACCCCGTTTTGTAGTACAGTGGCCTGTACTACGAAACGGGGTTACTGGGTTATCGGGGTAACTTGTCGGATTTAAGGTAGTCTGGGCAAAATGTAAGTGAGCGAATATGAAGTCCATTTTAAACTGTGGTACCTTAAACGCGACAAGTTACCCCGATAAGCCAGTAACCCCGCTTCGTAGTACAGGCCACTGAACTACAAAACGGGGTTACTGGCTTATCGGGGTAACTTGTCGGATTTAAGGTAGTCTGGGCAAAATGTAAGTGAGCAAATATGAAGTCCATTTTAAACTGTGGTACCTTAAACCCGACAAGTTACCCCGATAAGCCAGTAACCCCGCTTCGTAGTACAGGCCACTTGTTGTTGTCATTGTTAGCGTTGTTCTTGTTATTTGTTTTTGTCAATTTTCCACGTTGAATGTCACGGTGCGTTCGAGAAATTCAAGGACCCCCCATGAGTGAATGGCAGTCCTTAGCCTTTCGGGAGGACTGGTCGGAGGGTGAGTGCTGAGGCCTTTTCTACCACAAAATATGACAGACCTAGGCTAGCACTGTAAGATTGCCAAACTAGGAAGGTTGGGGAGTAGAGAAGGTGAAGATGCAGCCTATATGTAGCAGTGGAACAATGCTGTGAAACTAAAGCCCAATTCAAGTTTTAAAATCCATTAATTGGCAAAAAAAAAGAAAAAAAGTAACATTCTGCTGTGTAATAATCTCGTCTGCAATCAGCAGCAAACTCCAGATGATTAAACTGAAGGCCAGTTAATGGACAGCTGTGAACATAATGAAATGGGCCTATTTTACTATAAATATTTATAGTACATCCATATTTTAGTCAGTTTTTTTATTACCTTCATCTAGATAGTATGTCAAAAATTCAGATAAGCCACTTTTTAAGGTATCTGTAAATTAAGAGACTTTTTAAAGTCTTTATTATACATAGCATTATTATTGTGAGTAGGGACAGTGTTCCGCATCAGGATTGGGGTGGAATAGGCAGACGCAAAGGAGAACTGGCTTGATAACACAGGGCTAGCGTGCGTCTCTCAGAAGGGTAAAGAGATGTGGGCTGACGGAACACGAGCTGGGATCTGGGTCCTGACACCGGCCGGAGGAAGCACGTGTTCCGTAACCTATGGGAGTGACTGCAGGTGAAAAGGGGCTCATCACACGACTCTGCCTGTGGGGAGGGGAGGGGTCCACACTTCTTTTGTCTAATAGTTGTCCTCCTGAGTGACATTACAATTACCCAAATTTAATGCTATTTCTCTATTTGTTAATATCAAATGAGAAAAATAATGGGGTTTCACTAAAATAATAACTTGTGGTTAGCTTAAAAAAGCTGGGATGTCTTTGCGAGTGTCCATGTCTGTTTCAGTCTCCAGGATGATGTGGACATGAAAATGGCTCGATTAAAAAACGCACCGTGGGGTCTTTGGGGGGAGGAAACATTCGGGAATGGCGGTTGGGTGGGGTTATGGGGACAGGGGCTGAGGGGAGCGGGCCAAAATGCGGACACGTCAGGTCATCCCACGGGAGCCTTCAGCACCGAGCCCACACTGGCACACGGCGTCTCTGCAAACCGTGTGTGCAGCTGTACATCAAAGAAACGAGCGGACAAACGTTTCCAGCGGTGCAGTGAGTTAGATCAGCAACGACAGCAGACAAATGCACAGATTTCAAGTTTATCTGCTGACGAGTCTCCTACGATCATAAATCTTTCATTTTTTCATAGTTTCTTAGTTTAATACTGTGCAAAGTAAAATAATACATTTCTTTCTAGCAGCTATATTTATAACGAATTATAATGCATTATATAGAATTTTAATTCAAAATAATACAGGCCTCATATAATAATTTCCCATAGAAAAATACACCACTTTTGTGTTTTTCTAATAAAAATACCTTGACTTACCTTCACTTACATTTTGAAGCAAAAAAGACTGCATGCTCAAGGCTTCAGGGCAACTTGTGCGCAATGAACACTGCTTTGGGACGGAATCGGCTCGAGGTTCAGCCTGTGTGTCTCCCTCCAGCTGCCTCCTACGGGCGGATGTTAGCCCAGTCTGGGATTTGACCCTTAGGGAGTCTCAGCCAGCGCTGCTGATAAGTACCCGCATATCACGCACCATGAGTAGGGCACCAAGTGCCAGAGGGGGGCGCCAAAACAGCCAAATGATCATCATCATAACTATAATCATGAATTATTTAAATTTAAGATGGAGCAATAGATACCATTAAACTATTATACAAAATATCCATAATTGCTCGAAACAATAAAATGAATTTTGAAGCCCGCAATCTCCTTGTGGTTTGTTCGATTACACCGGAGAACAATTCAGAAACGGCCCCTGAAAGGACACAGAGG